GGTAGTAACATAACATTATAAAGACACACTACCGAGTATGTGATACCCTAAAGACCTGAAGTCAAACCTAGTGATAGTAATATGACATTATAAACACTTATTACCGAGTATGTGATACCCTAGAGACTTGCAGTCAAAGCTAGTGGTAGTAATATAACATTATAAACACACACTACCGAGTATGTGATACCCTAAAGACCTGAAGTCAAACCTAGTGGTAGTAACATAACATTATAAACACACACTACCGAGTATGTGATACCCTAAAGACATGCAGTCAAACTTAGTAATAGTAACATAACATTATAAACACACACTACCGATTATGTGATACACTAAAGACCTGAAGTCAAACCAAGTGATAGTAATATAACATTATAAACACACACTACCGAGTATGTGATACCCTAAAGACCTGAATTCAGACCTAATGATAGTAACATAACATTATAAACACACATTACCGAGTATATGATACCCTAAAGATCTGAAGTCGAACCTAGTGATAGTAACATAACATTATAAACTCACACTACCGAGTATGTGATACCCTTAAGACCTGAAGTCAAAACTAGTGGTAGTAATATAACACTATAAACACACACTACCGAGTATGTGATACTCTAAAGACCTGAAGTCAAACCTAGTGGTAGTAATATAACATTATTAACACACATTACCGAGTATGTGATACCCTAAAGACCTGAAGTCAAACCTAGTGATAGTAATATAACATTATAAACACACACTACCGAGTATGTGATACCCTAAATACCTAAGGTTAAACCTAGTAATAGTAACATAACATTATAAACACACATTACCGAGTATGTGATACCCTAAAGACCTGAAGTCAAACCTAGTGATAGTAATATAACATTATAAACACACACTACCGAGTATGTGATACCCTAAATACCTAAGGTTAAACCTAGTAATAGTAACATAACATTATAAACACACATTACCGAGTATGTGATACCCTAGAGACTTGCAGTCAAACCTAGTGGTAGTTATATAACATTATAAAAACACTACCGAGTATGTGATACTCTAAAGACCTGAAGTCAAACCTAGTGGTAGTAACATAACATTATAAACACACACTACCGAGTATGTGATACCCTAAAGACCTGAAGTCCAACCTAGTGATAGTAACATAACATTATAAACACACACTACCGAGTATGTGATACCCTAAAGACCTGAAGTCAGACCTAGTGATAGCAACATAACATTATAAACACACATTACCGAGTATGTGATACCCTAGAGACTTGCAGTCAAACCTAGAGGTAATAATATAACATTATAAATACACACTACCGAGTATGTGATACCCTAAAGACCTGAAGTCAAAATTAGTGGTAGTAACATAACATTATAAAGACGCACTACCGAGTATGTGATACCCTAAAGACCTGAAGTCAAACCTAGTGATAGTAATATGACATTATAAACACACATTACCGAGTATGTGATACCCTAGAGACTTGCAGTCAAAGCTAGTAGTAGTAATATAACAATATAAAAACACACTACCGAGTATGTGATACCCTTAAGACCTGAAGTCAAACCTAGTATTAGTAACATAACATTATAAACACACACTACCGAGTATGTGATACCCTAAAGACCTGAAGTGAAAACTAGTGGTAGTAACATAACATTATAAACACACATTACCGAGTATGTGATACCCTAAAGACCTGAAGTCAAACCTAGTGATAGTAACATAGCATTATAAACACACACTACCGAGTATGTGATACTCTAAAGACCTGAAGTCAAACCTAGTGACAGTAATATAACATTATAAACACACACTACCGAGTATGTGATACCCTAAATACCTGAAGTCAAAACTAGTGGTAACATAACATTATAAACACACACTACCGAGCGTGTGATACCCTAAAAACCTGAAGTCAGACCTAGTGATAGTAACATAACATTATAAACACACACTAACGAGTATTTGATACCCTAAAGACCTGAAGTCAAACCTAGTGACAGTAATATAACATTATAAACACACACTACCGAGTAAGTGATACCCTAAAAACCTCAAGTCAAATCTATGGATAGTAATATAACATTATAAACAAACACTACCGAGTATGTGATACCCTAAAGACCTGAAGTCAAACCTAGTGGTAGTAACATAACATTATAAACACACACTACCGAGTATGTGATACCCTAAAGACCTGAAGTCAAAGATAGTGGTAGTAACATAACATTATAAACACACACTACCGAGTATGTGATACCCAAAAGACCTGAAGTCAAACCTAGTGATAGTAACATAACATTATAAGCACACACTACCGAGTACGTGATACCTTTAAGACCTGAAGTCAAACCTAGTGATAGTAATATAACATTATAAACTCACACTACCGAGTATGTGATACCCTAAAGACCTGAAGTCAAAACTAGTGGTAGTAATATAACACTATAAACACACACTACCGAGTATGTGATACTCTAAAGACCTGAAGTCAAACCTAGTGGTAGTAATATAACATTATTAACACACATTACCGAGTATGTGATACCCTAAAGACCTGAAGTCAAACCTAGTGATAGTAATATAACATTATAAACACACACTACCGAGTATGTGATACCCTAAATACCTAAGGTTAAACCTAGTGATAGTAACATAACATTATAAACACACATTACCGAATATGTGATACCCTAGAGACTTGCAGTCAAACCTAGTGGTAGTTATATAACATTATAAAAACACTACCGAGTATGTGATACTCTAAAGACCTGAAGTCAAACCTAGTGGTAGTAACATAACATTATAAACACACACTACCGAGTATGTGATACCCTAAAGACCTGAAGTCCAACCTAGTGATAGTAACATAACATTATAAACACACACTACCGAGTATGTGATACCCTAAAGATCTGAAGTCAAAACTAGTGGTAGTAATATAACATTTTAAACACACACTACCGAGTATGTGATACCCTAAAGACCTGAAGTCAAACCTAGTGATAGTAATATAACATTATAAACACACACTACCGAGTATATGATACCGTAAAGACCTGAAGTCAAACCTAGTGATAGTAATATAACATTATAAACACAAATTACCGAGTATGTGATACCCTAAAGACCTGAAGTCAAACCTACTGATAGTAATATAACATTATAAACACACACTACCGAGTATGTGATACCCTAAAGACTTGAAGTCAAACCTAGTGATAGTAACATAACATTATAAACACACACTACGGAGTATGTGATACCCTAAAGACCTGAAGTCAGACGTAGTGATAGTAACATAACATTATAAACACACACTACCGAGTATGTGATATCCTAAAGACCTAATCAAAACTAGTGATAGTTATATAACATTATAAACACAAATTACCGAGTATGTGATACCCTAAAGACCTGAAGTCAAACCTAGTGATAGTAATATTACATAATAAACACACACTACCGAGTATGTGATACCCTAAAGACTTGAAGTCGAACCTAGTATTAGTAACATAACATTATAAACACACACTACGGAGTATGTGATACCCTAAAGACCTGAATTCAGACCTAGTGATAGTAACATAACATTATAAACACACACTACCGAGTATGTGATACCCTAAGGACCTGAAGTCAGACCTAGTGATAGTAACATAACATTATAAACACACACTACCGAGTATGTGATACCCTAAAGACCTGAAGTCAAAAGTAGTGGTAGTAATATAACATTATAAACACACACTACCGAGTATGTGATACCTTAAAGACCTGAAGTCAAACCTAGTGGTAGTATTATAACATTATAAACACACATTACCGAGTATGTGATACCCTAAAGACCTGAAGTCAAACCTAGTGATAGTAACTTAACATTGTAAACACACACTACCGAGTATGTGATACCCTAAATACCTAAGGTCAAACGTAGTGATAGTAACATAACATTATAAACACACATTACCGAGTATGTGATACCCTAGAGACTTGCAGTCAAACCTAGTGGTAGTAATATAACATTATAAACACACACTACCGAGTATGTGATACTCTGAAGACCTGAAATCAAACCTAGTGGTAGTAACATAACATTATAAACACACACTACCGAGTATGTGATACCCTAGAGACTTGCAGTCAAACCTAGTAGTAGTAATATAACATTATAAACACACACTACCGAGTATGTGATACCCTAAAGACCTGAAGTCAAAACTAATGGTAGTAACATAACATCATAAACACACGACCGAGTATGTGATACCCTAAAGACCTGAAGTCAAACCTAGTGATAGTAACATAACATTATAAACACACACTACCGAGTATGTGATACCCTAAAGACCTGAAGTCAAACCTAGTGATAGTAATATAACATTATAAACACACACTACCGAGTTTGTGATACCCTAAAGACTTGCAGTTCAACCTAGTAATAGTAATATAACATTATAAACACACACTACCGAGTACGTGATACCCTCAAGACCTGAAGTCAAACCTAGTAATAGTTATATAACATTATAGACACACACTACCGAGTATGTGATACCCTAAAGACCTGAAGTCAAACCTAGTAATAGTAATATAACATTATAAACACTGAAAAGAATATACACCCACAATTCAAAAAATTATTTTAAACCAATTCAGCTGCTTTGTAAAATCTGGTTTTGGCACAATAATTTTTTGTAAAATATTGTAATACATTCTATACCATGTTTATTTACAGTTAATCCATACTTGGTAGACTAAGTTTACAAAATGCTGTTAATTTTCGTTAAAAAAAATATCTGTATCAGGGAATAGCTAATATATAATTTTTCCAAGAATTTGAATAATTTCCAAATATATATTGATTTTTGTATTTATGTAACCATATCTGACTTAGTAACATATTGCTGTAGTTGTCACTCCTTAGTGAGAATATAACAATTCGAAATACATGTAGATAAATAAAATAAAACCTTATATAAATGTCATTTTGCTACAGCCCCAGCTCAAGTTAGTTGTGACCTATTCGTTTTTACTAATTGTTGATTTTGCAATGGAAAGTCCTGTAATCTTTTACGTTTTTCTGACCTGTCTGATTGGTTCCAATGGTGCACATGAATGTATCGGGGACAAGTGTCGAGATGTGATATGAATGCCTTTACTTGGTAACATGGGAGCTACATTGAAAGCACACTTGGACGTCACCAATATGAACAATCATCTGAAAGCTTACATTCAACAGGAAATCAAGGAAGGTGTTGAAGTTGTAATGAGAAAAAAAATTAAGAAACTTGTGAATGCGGGTCTTGAAAAGATCAGCTCTACAATCGAAGCGAAAGTGAAAAGTATGTATTACTAATTAATTTGATTACTATATATAAATCGTACCATATTTTATCCCATGTATGTATTTTAGTTAGTTAATTATTTACTTTAAAAAAAGACAAATTAAACGAAATAGCATTGTGTTAGATGTTCGCGATTAAGTTAAAATAAATTCTCCACTAAATTCTTGTTGAATGTTACAATCTAAATTTATCTAAAAGGGGGAATGCTTTGATGTACGTACTTCCCCAAAACCCCGTTGAAGTATTTCAGAAAAGGCGATTCGGGTATGAATGTTATTTTGAAATTAACATTTTTAATCTACTTTATTCAGATAAAACTTTAATCTTTTGTTTACTACACAATATACTTGGCTAAAGCATAACAAGAATGAACTTTGAGCTTCAGAAGTCAATTTGAATGAACCCCAATGTCAGTACTACATGTATTACTTTTGAAATGAAAATTTTATTTTTCTTTCAGCTGGTACCTCCTACATTCAGTGGGGAAGGACAAAATGCACAAATGACAACACAGAATTGGTTTATTCTGGTAAATATCTATAAGAATTTTAATGATAATTTTATCGTTGCTTTATTTGGACAAATTGCATACCCCGTCTGTGAAAGCAGAAGGGTATTATGTTTTCCTATATGTGCGTTCATCCGTCCCGTACACGAGTGTCGACTAACGTCTCAGGATGGTACACGGGCCGATTTTGAAAAGGCCATGTCTTAATCTGTTTATGAGATCAATTCAAATTACCAAGACCTTACCGATTGAAGGGAAAGTTTCCAGCAATGTAATTGAAAGTATTGTAATTAAAAAGCTTTTTATAATTGAAAGTGAGCTCAATTACACGTTACCTTAAATTACTTTGAAACATGTAATTCATATTTATAGGCAATTACAATTACATTTTTATTTAGTCAAGGTCTGCTTTCGACCATAATAAAATCTCAGTGAAATTTCATACCCGTGAATTTACGGTTATGCATATATATAATAATTGATCAATTATTTTAGCCAACATCCATGTAATTTCTTTCCTAAAAAACTCAAAGAAACATTTTTACCTTGTATTTCGTCTTGAGTTCATGTTTTATGCAAAAAATCTCTGATTGCTCCTGTCTTCACAATTTTTTCTAAATAAATGAAAGCAATTTACAATTGTAACAAAACTCCAAAATATTTTGATATGAACTTAAAACTATGCCATTGGTTAATGCGCATTCAGCATGTTTCTGCCATGGAATAACTGTCTGCATTGAGTTTTGAAACCAAAAGTTTAGATGTTAAATGGTCAAAACATTGAATCTGTTTTCCTATAAGAATGTAAATTCATGCAAACAGTCGGTTGTGTTTAATTCAAGAAATTCAGATTTACTACCTTTTAAGTTTTTCCAAATAATTTTTTTCATAATGACATAAAAATACATTACTATAAATTTTCACTTCTTCGTACTATGAACATCAAAATTATTTATTTTGTAAAAATATTTCCTTTCTCCATTTGAACTGTACACGTATACCTAGCAACAAAATTATTTTCATTTACCTGTGTTTAAAGTCATTGCAAATGGCTGATATTTTTGTTCAAGCATATTGTTTTTCTTAAATTGTTTAACATTTCACAGCGGTATAACATGTTACTTTAATTATTCTTCCCTTAGTTTATTTATTTTGTATTTACATTGTATCATAGATCAAATTTATTTGTTCAGTGTATGTTCACTGGTGTTAATATGTCTTTTGATTGAGTTAAGCCATTTCAATTGATATTTTATAATGTGTCTTTCTATGTTGTGATGTTACACTGTTGTTTCAGATAAGGGTAAAAATTTGGTACCATTAAAACGTTTAAACCCGCTGCAATTGTTTACACCTGTCCTAAGTCAGGAATCTGATGTTCAGTAGTTGTCGTTTGTTGATGTGGTTCATAAGTGTTTTTCGTTTCTCGTTTTTTATATAGATTAGACCATTGATTTTCCCGTTTAAATGATTTTACACTAGTCATTTTTGGGGCCTTTTATAGCTTGCTGTTCGGTGTGAGCCAAGGCTCCGTGTTGAAGACCGTACTTTGACCTATAATGGTTTACTTTTATAAATTTTGACTTGGATGGAGAGTTGTCTCATTTGCACTCATACCACATCTTCTTATATCTATATGTTTTTCCCTCAAATAACAAGTCACACGAGATTTAATAAAATATTTTATCGTTTTAGGCTTTGTTGGTGGATCTTCATATACAGGTGGTGGCGCTCCAAATAAGCTCTGTGTTCCGAATGAACCACAGTGGGGTATTTATGATGGTAAAGTAAACAGCAGTCCTTTCATCGGTGCTACATTGTTCGATAACTGGGACATTAACATCAAGAATTCACTTTTTGATAAAAAATACACGTATTATGTCATTCAGTGTGCTGTTTGTCATGTGACAAAAGCAACATCCACAATAATGATACCGGGAAGGAAAACATGCTTTAATAATTGGAAAAAAGAATACCATGGTTACCTAATGGCTGGTTATCCTCTTCATAAGGCTGCTTCGGAATATATCTGTGTTGATGGAAACCCTGATCATATCAAGAGAGTACCTAGCTGGGCTGACAAATCTCTTTTGTACTCAGTCTATTCAAGATGTAACGGAGCGACCCCTTGTCCACCCTACGTTAATGGTAGGGAAATGACATGTGTAGTTTGTTCCAGATGAATACGATCAGATCTGTCATACCTTCTTCTATCAATTTGTGTTACACCTTTTAAGCTTTCTAAGACACTAGAAACTTACTTTGAAAAAAAAAAACAATTTACTTTTTGAATATCAAAAGAAAATCCATATCACGAATATATAAATAAAACATAATTGATACTGCTTTACAATTAATATTTATGCCTTAATGTTTTTAATACTTATATGTCATGTCAGTACCGAACCACTTCCTACTTGTCGAAACGCACCTCTAGGAGCTGAAAAACAGGTGCAGAGTCCAAATAGGCGTACGCGTTATAATTATAGATGTCATAACAAGTGAGAATTGGATATAGCTTGATATCAACTCGATTTATTTGATTTAACGAGCCTTGGGAGAGTTTGTTATTATTTTTTATTAAAATTAATTAATGAGAGTTAATTTCAAGCTTTGTAAAATGCTCATGAGTGGTTAAACATTTTCTCTTATGGTAAAAATTATCATTGTTTAAAAAGGAAATCTGTGACCTATAGTAGACAGATAGAGAAACAAAATATCAGCAAGACAAGATCAACAAAAAACAGATTTAAGTCATGAACTATATTCTAGTCAGCAATGTTGGAAAGTGACCGTTGTTGAAGATGCACATATATACAGATAAACGACACAGACTCTTTAGAGCTTGAGTTTATTTTATCTTTTATATGCTCCCACTCTGATGACTCATAAAAACAGTCGACACTCTTGAAACGAGTTGATTTCTTTTAAACAAAGGTATTAATATGGATTTCATGGTTCACAGAGCAAATAAGCAAACTCAACTTAACTGTTCTTTATACACACTTAAAAAGATGTGCTATAAATCTCGTTTATTTCCAGGTTAGCGGGAGAGTTGAGCGCGCGTTCACAACAATGTTAAACCCCGCCAAATTCTAAACGTGCCTGTCCCAAGTAAGAAGTCTGTAAAACAGTGGTTGTCGTTGGTTGCTGTCTGTCATTTTTGGTTTTTGGTTTTGTTTTGTCATCAATCAGTTTTTTCGTTTCAATTATTTCACATTTTGTCATGTCGGAGCCTTTCATGACTGACTATACGATATGAGTTTTGCTAATTGCTGAATGCAACACGGTGACCTATAATTGGATAAATCCACGTCATTTGTACTCTAGTGAATAGTTGTCTCATTGGCGATCATACTACATCTCCATATTTTATATAGTTAAAACAATAAATTGAATATCTCTTGGGTATCTTTCGCCTCTATTTTGGTACAGTTCGATAAATTGATCTGATGTATTTTTTTAGGGTTTTGCTTAACGTTCAGTGGCAAACACTTCATGTATATTCAGTACAAGAACGAAGTCACAATATGTCTAGTGTGTATTCTCTGCAAAGTGGGTCGATCTGGATGAAAAGAGGGGAATTAGACTGCCACTATGATAGGGTAATGAATAATACCTTTCAGCAGGCCACCTACATATCTCATGTCAAATATATTATAAAACAAGTATGGAACATCAAATTAGAATTTAGAATTACAGAGTTGCAGATTTGCAAAGTAAGAGTACTCCAAAACAAAAAGCGATTGGTATAAGTACATTGTACATTGTGTTTTTTTAATATCAATGTTATTTTTTTCTTTTAATTTAAACAAAGGAAACTTTATAGAATCGTATCAAAGCAGTACGGCCTACAGAAAAAACAAAAAAAAACAAAAAAAAAAAAACAACAAAAAAACAACTAGGAAATATTAAAAGCTGTTGGGGATGTTTATAATATCACATGTACATTTTATGAATATGTCCGCATTGACACTTATAAGTACATGTCTAACTGTACATCTGAATAAATTAAAAACACACAAAAAAAAAAAAAACAATTCTAATAATGATAAAAAGGTCTCAAACCAAAAACAAATATTTTGCACTAAATAAAACAAACGTAAACAATTATACAATTGGTCTATGATAAATATTGCCCATGAAAGGGTTAATAAAAACAGTTGTGCAGAAAACTTTTAATCCCGAATGAGTCTCATATACAGTGAGATTCAGGGAGCCGACAGGATAAGCACCATTCTACTAATATTTTCCTCTGAATTTGGGGAGGGAAGGTGGTCTTTATTTCTGCATTCTTTAATTTTATACTTCAAATTGGTTTCCTATTAATATACAACATCTAACTATTCTCTTTCCATTATTTCTTTTGTACATTTTCCCCAATTCTTTTTTTCTTCCATTATTCTCTATTCTGTAAACTCCCTAAAGACACTCTGATGACTGCATGTGTCACCTCTCATTGACCTGAGAATTCGTTGGGGACGACCGTGGTCGGGGGAGGGGAGGATGATTTTGTCCGGATGGAATATTAATTTTAGTACGGCTTATTTATTTCGCACGTACAAATAATCCCAGCATGCATTGTCCTGTATTTTGAAAATTCATTTTCATCCTTTCTTGGGCAAAGTAATTTATTTTCAGTTAATACCAGGCCAGAGTATAATAATTCATTTTAAAAAATGCTTCTGTACCCCTACTCCTCCACAGATATCAAACTTTTTCATCCGATAATCTCTCCATCAAGAAACACTAACAAAATGGAAGCTTAAAGGGCAACACATTGTATGAAGTTCAAAATTCACAAGTGGTACACTGAATCTCATGAACGTTAAAAACGATTCTAAATTAAATCCTAGATTTTACACTGCCTTTCATTTACTTCAATCATTGCCATTCTCCCATACTTTGGCACCTTCGTAGAAAGAATGGTCGAGTGGTTACAATTGTAATTCATTTTTGTCAAGTTTACCCATTACGATCATGCACACCACTTATAAAGAAACAAAAGGAAATTGTGAATGCCACAGTAAAAGGTCTTTAAGGATTATGACGTAACACAAATAGACCTTTTTGTATGTAAAGTTGAAAACCCTATACTTTTGCATGTTGAATTGATGACACCTTCATTTATGTAGCTTAAAACAATACTGAACTTTTAAAACTGATCTTATATGTTAACTTCTAATATATTTGTATGGGAACAAAAGAATAAAAAAACCTGACTTAATCATTCTAAAGATAACGATAAATTTATTGGGTTACACTATTACGCCCTCTTTTCCTCCAAACCTGTATTCGCCCCTAGAATACACAGATCAAGTTGGGTTTTGATAATTGTGCCAGTAACAGTTCTGGCCTTAGTAATGTGGTTTTCGCATTGTTACATGTAGTTTACTTAGCCAAATCTGTTGAAACATGCACATTATGCTAATTACCATGCTATGGCGTTTCATTTTGACCATTATGTATTGTACTGTTCATTAGTTTTGTCCCTTACATATTTGAAAAATGAAGTTTTTTTAGTGCATTTTCATGCTCCAAAGTTAAACTTTTTTATAAAATCAAATAGCTTGGTAGCTCTGAGAGAAAGACGACTATTGCTTTCCTTGATATACGTATTGTTTTTCCAAAAAATAGTTCAACTGCTCATGAATTTGCAACTTAGCAGAATAAAATTTATTTCATAAATTTTGATGATTCAATCTGAATATGTTTTTATGTCAACAACAAAATCGGAACTTGCCTCGCTCATTCTACATTTTTTTTTAATGTACAGTGTACAAGTGAACCCAAACAACATATATGTTCAATAACATACAAGAACAAGATCTTTTTTAAATCAACGTTGGTGTCATTCGGCTGGAATGTAATAGTAATAAATATTTTGGAATTGATAGAATTTGGTACAGCTTATAAATACACGTGAACTTTTATAATATATTTCTGGAAGTCATCAATGGTCATGTTTTTGCTCTACCAGAACTTAATTTCTTGCACATCATGTAGCAGTCATTTCAACCTTTTTCCTTGTGAATGTATTTATTGATTATTCATAATTATTGTCGACCAAAACTTTGAATAAAAAAAAACCCCAAACAAATGCAACAGAGAGTTTACAAAAAAAGTTATTGCTCATGTACTATGTTTTTGAAAAAATGTACTCTTTTTTTATTCAAGTCGAGAAAAATATTTGTTCCAAAAAAAAATCAAGCCCCCCCCCCACCCCCACACCCCCCCCCCCCCCCAATAAAAAAGTTGAATGGTCACTCTAGCCTGCTGACAAATTGTTAGCGTATTCAGTGCTACAGGTTGTTGTAGTTCTATGTTATTGTAAGACGGAAACTGATTTTATTGTGTAAAAAATGTTTTAACATTTGTGAAATTATTTTTTAACAGTTTGTACTTTAACAAGTAAAGTTTGGTATATGTAGCTGTATACTACATGCGTGCTGACATAATAATCAGACAAACACTGTGTTCTAGTTATGATATGAAAAATGTTCTTTTAATCATATGGGTAGTATTTCAGGGGTTGACCCCAGCCTGACAAATATGCACAAGCGCTGAGCATTTGGCCGACAGAAATTTGGTTTACAGCTTCTTAGGGTCATATACATTTGTACGTGCTGCTAATTCATATGAATAAAGATATCTATGGCATCGACCAAATATCTTTTGCGAGGCATGATAGTATTTCTCACGCTATAATGTTTTTCCCTAACAACATATATGTTCAATAACATACAAGAACAAGATCTTTTTTAAATCAATGTTTCTGTCATTCGACCGGAATTTAAAAGTAATAAAATAACAAAGAAACGAAATAACTTGTTATTAAAATCGCAGGATGAAATTTTGAGTAAAAAAAAAGGGCAGGATGAGCAACTTTGCAAAAAAAAGGCAGGATGACAATTTATGTAAAAAAAAGTCATGATAAACTAATAACAAAAAGGCAGGACCGAATAAAGTGAAAAATAAAAAGGCAGGACAGAGATTACAACTAAAAAAAAATGCAGGACAAAATTTTCATCCTAGCCTCTCCCCCATAAAAATCAAATGGTAGCTCTCTAATTATGGTAGTTTTTTTTCTCGTTTTCATTTCCCCCGATACATGGGATTCTATAATAATGTTACTTCCCTGGGCAATTAAAGGTTTATGTAACAGATGATTACGTATTGAAGAAATATGCTTAAAAATGAAAAAAATAAATATTGTATTTATGTATGTTTTTTTCTTTCTTTTATATATACATGATATATGGAGAAACAATGTAAGTAATTTGTTCACTTCCTTTCGAAAACAATTTTGTTTTAAAATTTTTAGTTAAATACAAAAGACGCTTTT